ATCATCAGTGAAGTCACCTGTGCCATTGCCCCATGCTGAGCCATAAATGGTGACTACCACATTTTACATTCAGAAAGCGGTAGTTGACAAGGGTGTCCCCAGTTAAGGACATCCCCCTGTTATAGTCACTGCATGTTTCACTGTAGCTCCGTATACGTGTGGTCTCTGACTCAGTGTTTGGGGTGACCTCAGTTGGGTTAAGGACTCTAGTCTACCATAACTTGTGCACTACACCACAGTCTACCACTGATGACAAGACCTGGCAGTGTCCTGGGGTCCAGGCTCTTAACAGAATACCATGCTTTGGGTTTCTGCTTGCTAAAACAATCTTCTATGAACATGTGCTGGGGGACATCTGGCCCTTGGTTTGCCACACCCCTAACTAAAGCAGAGGAGAGTGAGGAACGCCTTTCTTCCCAGGTACACCCATGTCTGCCCCCAAATATTCTCCCCTCTTTGCCCGGTGCTTTGGCTGGGAGGAGAGGAGGACTGAGTGCCCCCTTCAGAGGAGCATGTGCCCACGTCTTTACCAATGAGGGTCTCATCATCCCAGACTTGTGTCAGCCCCCAGCGTTTTCAGGTTTATTCTGGCCTGAGCCCTCCTGCAGTTCCCTCGCCTTCCCCAGGGCTGCTCCTTCCGCAGGCAGCACTGCAGGACCACTGTACCCCACCGCACTCTCCACTTTTCTTAGCCACACAGTCTTCTAACTGAAGAGGTGGTGGGAGGCTCATGATAAAGAGTGGTGCCCTTAGACTGTTCGGGGACAGTTCTTACTATAGATGCAATACTGATGATGGTGGCTACCATTTACTGAACGGTCACTGTGTGCTGGGCAAGGTTCTAAGTGCTTCACATGTTTTAACGTGCATACCCCTGAGAATAACTCTGTGAGGTAGGTGTTATCATTTTCCTGTTTTCCGAAAAAGAAATTGAGGACAATGAGGTTAAATAACCTGCTCAAGATTACATAATTTATGATTAATGACATTATTCAGTGTAGCTTTCTGTGCATATTAGGAAATTAAATTTGGGGAGGAGGATTTATTTTAAAAATTAAGGGTACTTACAGATTATAAATATTTTTAAAATTTTAATTGTGATAAAATATTCTAATATAATTTTATATATTTAAAGTGTACAGCTTGATAATTTGACAGACATACATTGTGGAATGACGACCAAAAACAATTAACACATCCATCACCTCACATAGTTAAATTTTTCAGGAGGTGAGGATGCTTAGAAGAAAACCTCAGCAAAATTTCAGGTATACAATACTGTATTGTTAACTACATTTACCATGCTTTACATTAGATCTTCAAAACGTATTTAATTATAATGGAAAGTTTGTACCCTTTGACTTACATCTACTCATTTTCCCCTTGCCACAGCCCTTCACAACCACCATTCTATTCTCTGTTTCTATGAATTTGTCCCTTTAATAGAACCTTCACATGTAAGCGATACCATGTAGTATTTGTGTATCCCTGTGTGACTTTTTCCTTAGCATAATGCCCTCTGGATTCAAGCTTGTTTTTCAAATGGCAGGATTTTTTATGGCTAAATTGTATTCCAGTGTGTGTGTGTGTATTTTATTCATTCATACTTTAAATGACATCTAGGCAGTTTCCAAGTCTTGGTAATTGTAGATAATGCTGCAATAAATGTGAGAGTGCAGATATCTTGGAGGTAATAACTTAACTTTCTTTGGATGTATAACCAAGAGCGGGATTGCTAGATCATAAGGTAGGCCTATTTTTAATTTTTTGAGGAAACACCATAGCATTTTCCATAGTGGCTGTACCCTTTGCATTCCCATCAGCAGTGTTAAAGTGTTCCTTTTTTTTTTTTTACTACTTAGCAATGTTTGTTTTCTCTTATTTTTTTGATATAGCATTTCTGTCAGATATGAGGTGATATCACATTGTGGTTTTGGTCTGCATTTCCCTGATGATTAGTGGTAATGAATGCCTTTTCATACAATTAGTGGCCGTTTGAATGTCCTCTTTAGGAAAATACCTGTTCAGGTCATTTACCCAGTTTTAATTGGATTATTTGCTTCTTTGCTGTTGACTTGTAAAAATAGTTCATATATTTTGGATATTAACCCCTTATCAGATACATTGTTTGCAAACATTTTCTCCTACTGTGTAAGTTGCCCTTTCAATTTATTGTTTCCTTTGCTGTGCAGATTTTTAGTTTTGTGCAATCCCACCTCTTTATTTTAGCTTTTGTTGCCTGTGCTTCTGGTCGGCCTTATCCAAGAAATCATTGCCAAGGCCAGTGTCAAGGATCTTTTCCCTGTGTTTTCTTTTAGGAGTTTTACACTTCCAGGATTTATATTTTTAAGAATATAGTATAGTAGTGTTAGACACATTCACATTGTTATGAAACCAATCTCTGGAACTCTTTACATCTTGCAAAACTGAACCACTATTCCCATTAAATAGAAACTCAACCCTTTTCCCTGTGGCTGTGAAACCACTATTCTACTTTAAGTCTCTATGACTATATGTCTCTGTTTAAGTACCTCATCTAAGTGGAATCCTATAGTAATTGTTTGTGACTGGCTTATTTCACTTCGCATAAAGTCTTCATGATTCATCCATGTTGTAGCATGTCAGAATTTCCCTCCACTTTAAGGCTGAATTATATTTTATTGTATGTATATACCACATTTTATTGATCTATTCATTCCTTGGTGGACCCTTGAGTCGCTTCTATCTTTTTCCTATTGTGAGTAATGTTTGTTGTGAATATGGGTGTACAAAAAAATCTGGTTGTGTCCCGGCTCATATCCCTTAGGGGAAATACTCAGAATTGCAATTTCTAGGTCATATGGTAATTCTATTTTTAATTTTTTGAAGCCACCATTTTGTTTGCCATAGCAATTGCCTCCTTTCACATTCATACAAGCAGCTCCCAAAGATTCCAATTTCTCTATATTCTTGCCAACACTTGTTATTTTCTGGTCTTGGATAATAGCCATCTTAATGGATGGAAGATGCTATCCATTGGTGTATTGATTTGCATTCCCCTAGTGATTGCTGGTGTTGAGCATATTCTCATGGGCCAGTTGGTCATTTGCATATTTCCTTTGGAAAACTTTCTGTTCAAGTCCATTGCCCATTTTTAAATCCAGTTGTTTTTGGTTTTGTTTTTGTTGGTGTTGAGCTGTGGTGTTCTTTCTTTATTACCATTCTTTACCTCGTATCAGATACATGATTTGCAAACATTTTTCCCTACTCTGTAGGTTGCCTTTTTCCTCTGCTGCCTGTGTTCTTGGTTTCATTTTGTTTGTTTAAAATTAAACTTGTATATATTTAAAGCGTACAATATGATGCTTTGATATACATGTAATAGTGAAGTGATTACTACAAACGAGCTAATGAAGAACTGTCTCCTCACATACTTACCTTTTCTCTGTGTTCTGAGAGCACTGATATGTAGTCTCTTACAAATTTCCAGTACACAGTCCAGTATTATTTATAGTCATCATGCTGTACATTAGATCTCTAGGTCTTATTCAACCTATGTAACTGCAACTTTGCACCCTTGGACCAAAATCTCCCTGTCTCTCCCCCCGCCCCCCAGACTGGTAATCACTGTACTACTCTCTTCTTCTATGAATTCTACTTTTTGAGATTCCATATACAAGTGAGATGATGCAGTGTTTTTTCTTTCTGTGTTTGGCTTATTTCACTTAGCATAATGTCTTCACAGGGTCACAGATGGCAGGGTCTTCCTTTTAAGGCTGAATATTTCATCGTATATGTGGATCAGTTTCTTTATCCCTTCATCTCTTAGTGGATATTTAGGTCGTTGCCTTATCTTGGGTATTAAAAATGCTGCAGTGAACTCGGGAGTGCATGTGTCTCATCAAGACACTGATTTAATTTCCTTTGCAATAAGTACCCAGGAGTGGGATTGCTAAGTCAAACAGTAGATGTATTTTTAACTTTTTGAGAAACCTCCACACTGTATCCAAAATGTCTGTATCAATTTACATTCCCAGCAGTGTGCACGAATTCCCTTTTCTTGCCAGTATTTTGCCAGTACACGTTATCTTTTATCTTTCGTACAATGGTCATCTTATCCATTGTGTGAGGTGCTATCTCGTTGTGGATTTTATTTTTATTTCTCTGATGATTAGTGATGCTGAACACCTTTTCGTATGCCTGTTGGCCATTTGTAAGTCTTCTCTGAAGAAATGTCTACTCACATCCTTACCCATTTTTAAATAGGGTCACTTGTCTGGGGTTTTTTGCTGCTGAGTTGTATATTACGTATTTTAGATATTAACACCTTATCAGAGGTGAAGTTAGAAAATATTTCCTACCAGCTTGTAGATTGCTTTTTTATTTTGTTCATCATTTCCTTTGCTTTGCAGAAGATTTTTAGCTTGATGTAGTTTCATGTGTTTATTTTTGCTTCTGTTGCCTGAGCTCTTG